TTTGCTTAGATTAAAATCAAATTTTAATTCTAACCAAACAGGCTCTTAGACTTCTTACAATCATTAAAAATAAATTTTTTTTTTATGAAAAATGAGTTTTGAAAAATAATTATTTTTTGAAGAATGTATGGTTAAAAAGTATGAAAAGATTTTGGATTTATATGCAAAATATTCTATTAAAAGTGTGTAGTTAAAGATGAGTTTGAGGAAAAATGAATTTTATTTTAATAAAAATTAAGTTTATCTGAAAATAATTTAAAAAGTAAAACTTGGCTTCGCTTGGATCATGTTTAATGTCACTTTTATTCATAGATTTTGAGAGACTTGCAAATTATAAGTACTAATTTATCTATTGTTCACATTCGATTATTTAAAATCTCATTTTTTTAAATTTATTTTTAATCACATATTCTATCAATAAAATAACGTTTTAAGTGAATTCAAAATTTCTCCTTACTTTTCTACCTTACATTCTCTAAAAAATTACTCTTAGTAAACTCATTTTCCACAAAAAAGTACTCAAAGACAGCGTTGACAAAATGGTCTTTTCATATTATCAGAATTAAAATGATTAAAAAAGAGAAATTAAAAAATAAAGAATTAAAATTAAAAAGAAGAAAACTAAGAGATTAAAATCATGTTTTCAATAAATTTTGATAAAGTATGATAAAATTTATTGTTAAGGAGCTGTGAATTCCATAAAATAAATAAATAAATAAATAAATAATTGTTAAGTTATTGTCTGAGCCACATTATTTTTATAAGAATGTATTTTTAAATAATGTATTGATGGAAAATATGCGATTAAAAATAATGAAAGGTTTTAGATTTGCGTGTAATATTATTTTTTTAAAAATCTATTGTTGAAATGATATCAAATCACTGTTTAAGATTATTATTTTTTTGAAAAAACGTGGGTCAAACTGGACAATGAATTCCATAAAGAGTTATGCTGCATGTACATTATGGTGTCTATTATTTTTTCAACCTCCAATCATGGAATTCTCCGAATACATTATGAACATCTTTATGAATATCATAATGTACACGTAGAATTATTCGGGAGGAGAAATCTTCCCTAGTTTATATGAAACCGCCGTTACGAAGAAGACCCCCAATGCATTCATGTGGTTCCGTGGCTACACCAAAGGAAAAATCTCTCTTGGTGGTGACAGTTGCGACTGTTGACGGTAGAGCAGGTGGGATTGGGAATAGGTAGAGAAAATGAACCCTTTTTGTAAAAGAAAAAAAATAATAAATAAATAAATA